TAAACCGGAGGCAGAAGTCGGATAGCTCAAAGGAGAGCGGCACAACTCTTCACCGGGGGGACCCTCGCAGGCTTGTCCTTGCTCCGCTGCCCGCCCAGCCAAGCCCCCGCTACTCCTCACAGCCTTGTGACATGTCCTGATCGATGGGTACCAGCCTCCGCCGAAGGGTGCCGGGAAACGACACCCAAAGCAGGGAGTCCCTCCGCGGACTGTTCTCAGAAAAACCACCCAGGGCGCACCCCGCACCTCTCGCCCTGTAGCGACTGTCCCCAACTTCTCAGCGGAAAAGATGTACTTGGAGGTGTTGGAAGCAGCACTTTACGTAAAGGTTTGGATGCAGAAGGTTCTCCAGCAGCCATTTGACTCATGTTTTCCAAATTAACTTGAACAGTGTTTTCAAATTTGCCATTAGATGCCTCTTTCTGGGACACTATAGAAGCCTTCTCGCTTGAAACCCAATTATCACCAGTAAAACCAGGCTGAGGAGCAGAAATTAAAGTTTTCTCTTCCTTACCAAGTGAAGTCTGCAGAGCATTTGGAAAACTTGCTGCAGCAATTTCTCTTGGGGATATCTCATTCTGTACCACCTGGGGCTTTATTCGAGAATCAGCATTGTCACTAGTCTCTGTCGCCATTCTTCTGGCTTGTCGAGGATCTCTGTTCTGCCTTGGGTCACAGCCCTGGTTTAAGACTTGTGCTTGTTGATTTAAAGATGAAGATAAATCTACCTTTTGTGCAGCTTGCTGGTCCTGATGGAATAATTCAGTCTTTATTAGGGAAGATTTTGGTGGTGGTGACATTAAAGCATCAGACACTGAAAAATGAGCCATTGAAACACCAACAGCGGCTCTTTGTTGTCTGAGGGCTTCTTCTTGTTCCTCCAGTTGTCTTTTCTGTTCTTCTATTTGTTTGTTTAATTCTTCCAACATTTTTTGCTGTTCTACCAAGGATGAGGATGCAGATAAATCAGGAACATACGAAGCAGATGCTTCCAAAGAATTGCTTTTAGTGTCTGTATACATTCTGTTAGGTAAATCATCAACAGTAACTTTTGCTTCTTCCAAGATAGTTTCATCTTCTGGATCGTAGGCCTCATCCTCTAATTCTGCTGTATTAGATGGTTTCTCCACGTTATATCGTTTTTCACTGTCACCAGTCTGCATTTCAAAAGCTTTCTCCGGACCATATTCTTCTTCAGGATCGTACGGTCTGTCATCCTCCTCCTCTTCTATAGCTCTGTCTTTTGACATCTGTCCAAACTGCTGCACAATGGGATCTAACAAAGGAACAGCTGACACTCCTCTGTCGGCGGCAGCTTGACCTTCCTGATGTGAAGACTGGGCAGTACCAGAATCCTTAGCAAGAGGCTCAAAAGTTTTCTTTTTTCCAAAAAGCGTCTGCAGGATGTGCTCGAGAGGTGTGGCAGTTTTGGAGGATGAAGATTGCGTAGCAGTGACGCTTGCAGAAGCGGCAGTTGAAACGGGTCCTCCGGCGGCTTCTCCGAGCGGGGGGCTCCTGGCCGAGCACACCCCGCACCTCTGCGTCCCCCTAAACGCTCCCCGGGGCTCGGCGGACCGGGAGAGAGGAGGCGAGCTGGGCACACCCCGCCCGCGGGATGCG